TTCAAGGATTCAGAAAATGTAACCCCCATATCTGTAAGTAAAATATTGCAAAAGCCTTATGTATTTTTCACGTTTCAAGATGGTGGCACTTCCGGTTCAATCGGCAGACTTCGTATTTTGTGTACACATCAGTACTTTCTTAGCTAGTACAGAAAAAAAATCAAGGCAATCTGACCTATATTTCGTCGATTCTTTTGAAAATTTAGATCCTTAATTTCTCCAAGGGGAGATAATTTATAAAAATTCGAATGACATCTTTCAAGTCGCATTAGTAAGATCTACTTATATTCCAAAATCGTGCAAAGAAGTTGTAAAGTTGGTTTCAACTTCCGGGACGAAATCACGGCGACGAATTTTCGAAATTCGAAAATCTGAAATTGCAGTTGAAAATGATTTTCGTCAAAGTACTCAAAGAAAAAAGAATTAATAAAATAGGTAAAAAAAATCACAAAGTTACGATTATGCATTGTCATTTTTTTCGTTCGAAAAATTCGGTGATTTCGGATTCGTAAAACGTTTTGAAAATATATTTAAACAAAAGCTGCCACCCATTTTTTTTTTGTGGGGGGGGGGGGGGTTAAGTCAAAGTTTCAGAAAGATCCTGTGGTTAGATTCTGAGAAATCCGATTTGCAGAAAGGACACACACACAAAAAAAAAAATAATAGCAATCTTAACAGAAATATGAAAGCTTAGCAAACGTCAAACATATAATAATAATAATAATAATAATAAAATAATAATAATAAGAAGGATTCTTGTATTGCGCTAAAATCCACACCACAAAAGGGGTATGCTCAAAGCGCCGACCACACAACGAACACACACTATCACTCAACAACACAATTTCACTAATTATAACCTTTGAAGAGATAGGTCTCGTGGTTTGATTTAACGAACTTAATGTTTTGGCACTCTTTAGTTTTAATGGCAAATTATTCCAAAGTGTTGCAGAGGCGTAGGAAAATGACCAATCACCAAATGTCTTTAAATTGTAACATGGAGTCTCGAGTAGAAAGTGATCAGAAGAGCGCAAACATCGTGAAGGAACATATATGGGTGTACAAGTTCTTGTAGATAGGTTGGAGCCATTTCGGACACTGATTGGTAGGTTAGGCACACGATTTTGAATTCGATTCTTTCTGAAATCCTAAGCCAGTGGAAGGCATCAGTAACAGGAGATATGTGACATCTTTGTTTAGTTCTCGTTACGATTCTGGTGCATTTATTCTGGATTTGCTGAAGTCGTTGAATTTGTTGCTTGGAGGTTCCTATAAAAAGACTGTTGTCGTAGTCCAGTCTAGAAATCACCATACGCCGAACAAGTGTGGCAGATGCATACCTAGTGATAAGATGTCTAATAGATCCAATATTTCGAAGATGATAATGAGATATTTTACACAAGTAACTGACATGTGTTTCCATTGTTAACGAAGAGTCAATGTGAATTCCGAGATTCTTAACAGATGAAGCAAAAGGAATGATAGATTCATTCATATTTAGGGACTCTACTTTACATTTTTTAAGTCGAGATTGAGGACCAATAAGAATTGCTTCAGTTTTATCAGAATTTAGTTTAAACATGTTATCGTCCATCCATTTCTGGACATCATTTATACAATTTTCCAATTGGTTACACCCATTATACAACTGTCGATAGATTTCTAGCCTTGTCTTTCTCCACTTTCGCGTCTACGCTTTCGAGATTCAAGTATAGGAGTTATCCACGGTGCTTGTTTGTTGATTCGCACAGACTTGGTTTTGAGTGGCGCATGTTTGTCTAGTAGTTCTGAAAGCGTAGTATTATAAAAATCCACAATTTCATCCAAGTCATCAGGAGGATTACAGATGAGATTTGATTGAATAATATTATTTTGAAATTCATCAATGTTAATCTTTTTGATATTGCGGATCCGGATGATCCGTTTACTTGGTAGCGGTTTAGCAAAGTTAAGGTGAAATGATATTATAAAATGATCTGGCAATTGTTTGTCTTCAATTTCAATTTGCTGAATATTTGATTCGTCTCTAGTGACAACCCAGTCAATGATATGGCCTGATTTATGGGTGGGTAGTGACACAAGTTGTTTTAGGTCGTCCATCATAATTTCTTAGTAAAACCGTTGTCAGGAACATCAAAATGTGCATTAAAGTCTTCTAGAATAACTGGTCTGGTCGAGGATAACTGTTCTGCTGATTTGTTTTCTTGGAGGGCGGTGGTTTGTAAATACATAAAAACCTCAAGGACTTGCCACCAACACTTATTACAATTCCAAATAATTCGAATGATAAGAAAGTCTGAGCTGGCTTAAAAGGTTGTAGTGTAAGGCTGTCTTTAAATGTCATTGCTATGCCCCTCCCATTCCACTGGTCCTGGGGATGTGCTTAATGTGATAGCCTAAAGGAATCATACCCTAACTTTTGCATCATCTCCATCTGGTCTTAACCATGTTTCGGTAAGAAAGAGGGCATCATATTCATTTTCAAAAATAAGTTCATTAATATCTGTTGTTTTATTTTTGGCTGATTGCGTATTCTATAATCCGAACTTTAGAAGTGAAATCTGTTTAACAGGACTGTGGTCACAGTGAAGTGAGTTAGTTTTAAACTGATTAACAGACTGTTTGAAATCTGCGAAACATACTACAGATTTTGATAATACAATTAAATATAAATGAATTAGAAATAATTATATACATTATTTACATAAATCATTCAGTAAATGGACATGAATATGGTTATATACCCTTATAAAAACAAACGCGAAACGACCAATTTGTAAACTGCTTTTTGATTGGTTCGTAGACTTTAGCTACAATCAAGGCCAGGGTAGATAATTTGAAATCGTGGAAACCCTATGGATTAGCCCTGGGTATAGTGGAGTAGAACGGAATGAGTACACAGGGGATACCGAAGATGATCGCTAAAGGGGTTTATCTATCCTTGTTATACCGGGTACACGTCCCCGCAGTGCGGCATCGACTGTGGCTGTCATCTGAAATATGTGCCTCCCGACAAAGTTTGTTGCTTTGGTTTGCTACTTCATCATAGTAGTTTGTTTTTTCAATGCGATCTGGTGTCCCTGTAAAACGCTAACACATCTCAGCCCGCTTCTTTATAATCAGTCATACCCGCGAACTGACCTAGGGTGCGATTTTTCAGTTTTGTACTGTGGGTTCGGGAAGTTCGTGCATAGTTGCCCTAGACTAGTGGAGTACATTTCGATCAAATCTCTGGACTTTAAGTTTGCAGTTATGTTTTCATCTGCATGGAGATCTTCTATGGATGACACAAATTCTGCAAACGTTATACCATGGCATATCTTATCACTGCTCTCTGTGCGTTTTTGTCTTGCTACGTAGAATGTTTGTTATAGAAGGAAGCCTGGCAACGCGCATATTTTGCATCCCAGGGCAACCATATTTGAAGAACAGTAATTATTAGCCCTAAAAACATGGGTATAGAGGCCATATTTTTCACTGTGTCGTGTTTGGTTGCTAAAATTTGGTGGAAAATATATTTTTCGATAATGGCGCCACTGTCAACAGGGTTCTTTTACGAAGTGGTTCACACCTGGAAATCTTCATAAGAGCATAATTTACGTTTGTGGAAAATTTCATGCTTTATAATAAAAGGCACAATTCCTTGATACTTCCACGCACATTGCCTGGACGCTGGGCTATGGGGATATGCTAACCCTGCACATCCAGGGCTTGGGGTGGATCATTTGGATTACAGATGGACAGAAAAGAATGGGTATTATAATCCAAAATGGCTTTTGCGGCCTGTCATGCCCGATAATCTTTCCCAGGAAGTGGATCGAGAGGAAGACAGCACAGATGATGGCGAGATTGGCCATCCAGATGTTCGATGACGATTCTTATTCGGAAAATGCTTGGAGTGATGAATCTAAACCTGAAATAGAAATCTACCCCTATTTAGCTGACTGATTAAATGCATTAGTTATTAAATACGGTAGCTTATGCTGAGGAAAATTTGTCTGGCATGGACCATTTAAAAATCTTGTGTCCACAGCGCCCAACTTTCGGAGGTGTTTGGCGGTGCTTACACAGCAGCCAATTTGTCTGGTAGTTTTTATTTTATACTTTGTAGTCTAGTTAGTAGAGCCGATTTCCAACATACATGTAGTGTCCATGGTGCCCCACTTTACTGGTGTCCGGTGGGGCTTATACGGCAGACAATTTGTCTGGCATGGGGTATTTTATACTATGTAGAGTTTAATTGTTCACTTTGTTACATGTCGTAGCTCTAGCCCAAAATTTGGGACCCTTGTTTGACGTCGGGGGTTTGGGGGGCATTATACAGAGGAAAATTTGTCCGACAGAGCCTGTTTTGTACTCAAATGAGATGTACAGGCACATTTCAATTTGGTTTCATGTGGTATCCCCAATGTTTGATCCAGCCCACTTTCGGGCACCCCTTTCGGGGATCCATGGGCCACACACAGCAATTGGGCCGGGCAGACATCCATATATGAATATGTTAGATCAATCTGAATAAAATACAGATCTATATTTCGTTTCGTTTTTTTTATACTTTCGATGGCCTACACTACATAAAGATCTGACCAATTGTTTTGGGAGGTCGCGCCAGAGGTCTTACGAGTAGCTTTTGACCATATGACGTCAGAATTTGATTAACCAATCAGCATTGATCTTTCTAGTGGATTACCCACAGTTCCGTGCACCTCACGCCAAAGGATCGCCGTAACAGACCGTTTCATTGGCTAATCCCTTACACCATCCAGAACACGTCAATCTCTTCCAGATCCTAGTGTAGTAAAGACAAGTAAAACAAAATTTTGAACTATAAAAAACGAAACGAAATAGGATCTGTGTATTAATCAAATTGATGTTAGGTTATACAGTAAACGTTATGTTAGTCGGCTATTGGTACCTTTTTCGTTTGACCAAAATGCTCAGGGCTGCCGATGTAATCGCGTTAAAGAGAAGTAGTTGGTAGTATAATATAGATACATAGATATAAATGAAAGCTTTATATACAGAAACAAAATATAACAGTATTATTTTACAATAAATACAATAAGTAATTGAATGAGACAACTGTTGTATGATAATATTACTTGGCAATAATACATGACTATTCCAAGATCTAAACATTATTTCAGAGATATATTTTACTATCTAAAGAAGGTAGGAATGTCAATATAGATATTATTAGTCTACAATACGTCTTCCACTAACGTGGTTTACAAAGAAATGGGTTCTACTGATGTGCACACTATCAGGCCTGGAACGTACTATGAAAGAGAAAAGGTATTTTGATTTGAATCTAGATGTAAACTCAATAGCTTAAAAACTTGAACATGTTTTGTGTAAGATTTAGATCAAGAGCTGGTCGTTCTTGCTATAAATAGTTCAAAAATAGATAATGAATACAGTGAAAATTTCAGTCAAATTACTTTATTTTGAACGAAGTTATGAGTGTTTGAAATTTTGACATCAACAGCCGATTGTCAAGTACCATTGTAATGATAATAAAGTCTCCTTTGTCAGTTGTTTTATTATATTATGTTCATTTAACCGTAGATGATTATATGGTGATAGTCTAGAGAGTTTATTACAGGCTTGTCATACGAATAAATGTATATAATTTATATAACATTGGAAGCCAGAAAAAAAACCTGCAATAAGCAGATTTAATTCTTAAACAAGCCATCAGTGAGGCTGATGTCCCCCGCGAAATCCCAAAATAAATAAATAAATGACACATTTTAATTTATCGCACATTTATATTTTTCAAAAGTATCAAGCAATTAAACTGATTATCAACTATACACTAAGTTTCATCACTCTCTATCACTATCAGATAGAATCAAAGTTATCTTGTCCTAAAGCATTGACCAATGAAATTGCTTAGCTCTAGCTCGAAATGTTAATCATTGAACTCGGTCAAGACATTCACCTAATAAACATCTACATCAAGTTTAAATATTCTACCTCAATTAAAAGCAGAGTTGTTATGTTCCAAAGTCTTGGCCAATCAAATTGCTTATCTCTCCTCAGCCTGAGCAGAAAATTGTCATCATCGAACTTAGTCAAGGTAATGATATAATGAATATATGCTCGGAGTTTCACCACTCTCACTTCCATTAAGGCATTCACCTACGCCAAATGAGAACATTCTAGCTCAATTAGAATGAGAATTATTGTGTTCCAAAGTCTCGGCCAATCAAAATGCTCATCGCTCTGAGCAGAAAATGCTCATTATTGAACTTAGTCAAGGTATGGATGTAATAAAACTATACACCCAAATTCCATCACTCTCACTTAATTAGAACTAAATATAAGAAATCGTGTCCCAAGGCATCAACCAATCAAATTGCTTATCTCTGCTTACCATAAGCAGAAAAAGCTCATCTTCGAACACCATCAAGGCATTGACCTAATAAACATCTACACCAAGTTCTAGCTCAATTAGAAGGAGAGTTATTGTGTTCCAAAGTAGAGAGAGAGAAATGGGGTTTAACGTCCACTCGACACAAACTAGGTCATTTCGGGACTAACATATGGTTTAATTTTATTTCAATGATTTGCTTGCGCGTAGGGGTCTTTAGCAGTGGGAGGAAACCGGAGGAGCCGGAGAAAATCCACGAGGTTGGAGTGTTCCAAAGTCTCGACCAATCAAATTGCTTATCGATCCGCTTACCCTGAGCAGAAAATGCTCATTATCGAACTTAGACAAGGTATTGATGTAATGAAACTATACATCAAGTTTCATCACTCTCACTTAATTAGAACTAAAGTTGTCATGTCCCAAAGCAGCAACCAATCAAATTGCTTATCTCTGCTTACCCTAAGCAGAAAATGCTCAACTTCTAATCCCGTCAAGGCATTGACCTAATAAACACCTACACCAAGTTTGAACATTCTAGCTCAATTAGGAGAGTTATTGTGTCAAAAAAGTGTGACAGACAGACAGACGGGCGGACGGACTGACGAACAGACGGACAAACGCATTTTAATAGTCCCCTGCTTTCTTCGAAAGGCGGGGTACAATAACCATCTTTAAAATTAACTTATTAGTTCTAATTGACAATAATAATCATATCATATTGCAAAAATTTCTAAATGCTGCCAATTAAAACATTTGAATAATATTGTATTTAAGTAAATGATATAACCATATTTATTGTTGGAGATTAATCCCTTGTTTTATAGGTGTCGAATTAATTGTGACTTTCTAAATACTACTCAAGTGTCAACTCAATCTTTCACATAAAATTAAAAACTTTCATACTTCAACATATACTACTGGTTTATCTTTCCCTTGCATTATCCTTCATGTGGAAGTGTGCGCGGTAACTGGTGAGACCGTGAAGTAGCCATTCTCGATCCCAGAGACAACTTTACCCCTTGTTTATCTCTGGCAAAACTCGCTGGCCATTAAACAGCGTGAACCGGTCCCAAAGTTCCGCCTCCGGTGACTACTGATTGGCAGGATTTGTTAGAATGAAATGCTACCGATTTCTCGATTCGTTACATCAGTTACATATTAATGATCCTTGGAACATTTTCCACATCTTGACATCAAAAGTTCATTCGAAATCAGCCGATTTGATGATTTACCGGGAACCCTTTTTAGCGCACAATGTGAGTTATTCGGTTAAATACGTGAAATTTCTGAAGAAACGCGAGTTTGAGCCGCCATCTTGGACCTTTGTGAAGCGATCGACGGAAGAATACATCGCGTGACATTCAAAATGGCCGGCGAGTATTACCAGAGATAAACGAAAAAGGGGAAACTTAGCTATGAGATCGAGATTGTGAAGTAGCATGTGATCAGCAGTAATTAAATATAAAGAATATATTATCCATGTTTAAAGTACTGGAGTAAAATGACTCACACTGGAGATATGTTATATATACTGTTCTACTATACAACTAGGCAATTATAGTACACATTGTCATAAACAGAACATTATATTAAAGATACATTGTCCCGAAAGTATTTATCGGGTTGATATTTCCAATAAGTATGGTGAATGTAGTATAAATGGAAAGTATAGACACCCAATCTTGCTAGAAAAATACTGGATTAAACGAAAAAAAAAACCACTGGGCAAAAATGTCAGGGTATTACTAACTGGCAACCCGACTGTTGTTTGCCAGCGTATTGTGTGCTAGCTTGACTGAAGGGGCGGTTGTTATTTTTTGATCAAATGGTTAGGCGGTTTGGGGAACATTTAGGGGTGTCAATTAAACAGCAGAATAAGAAGATAACAGAAAATAATTAGGAATTTACTTAGGCCTCAATATGCATGGTAAATGGACAGTAAGTAATGAGAGGGAGAGGGAGAAATGGGGTTTAACGTCCACTCGACACAAACTAGGTCATTTCGGGACTAACATATGGTTTAATTTTTTATTTACATAATTCGCTTGCGCGTAGGGGTCTTTAGCAGTGGGCGGAAACCAGAGGACCTGGAGAAAACCCACGAGGTTGGACAGGCAACCCTACTCCTTGCCACGTACAACCGGGGATTCGAAACCACGCCAGTCGACTCAATGACAGACTTTATGATACAGCGCGCGCACGCTAACCATTCAGCCATCCAACCCCCCAGTAAGTAATGAATAATATATTCTGAAAAATGGACCCTGCCCCAATGAAGTGTGGTGACAGACATGGCTTCTAACAACAGTTTATTTATAGCTTGGGGCATCTCCCTTCAAATACAAAGTTTTAAAAGGGATTTGAAGCAAATTTTTGATAGATTAATTAGTTTGAATATATTTCTAGTCCAAATATATCACCAAATCACACAGTTTGTACGCGGGAAAGTATCTTTAATATAGCTAAACAATAGTCTAGTTAAACAGTCTACTGCATGTATTTAGATATTGTATACAAAACATCTAACACAACAATATACTTGTACATTTAACAACCACTTAAATATTTTACATTACATCTAAAATAAAAGTAAAATTATCATTGATTTAGTGAAGCTCGGGCTATTTTGGGGATTAAATGAACAGTGTGATCAATAATTGTGATCATTGGGAAGTTATCACCAATTAACAAAGAGGGACAAGATTTTATAGTAATTCAAACACTTATTCTATTGTTGGCCTTGGTTGTACACGTAATCAAGTTGTGTGCTTGGCATTTATAATAATATATCAGACTGAAATATTACTGGTTTTCTTAGATAAATGATAAGTGGTGAATATTATTCTAGAACAAGCAAACATAATGGATCATTTTTCTTCTAAAGTAACATGATAGTAATAAATAATATCTTTACAACCTTAATAACTGTCCTCGCTGTAACAAAACAGACTCTGTGGCACTTTAAATTTGTGAAACATAGACTTGTGAGGAGGACTATATTACCTGTACTAGTCAGGTCGCTTAAGACAAAAACCGTTCAGATTTGGACAAAAGCATAAAAAATGGCATTAGGTAGTTTTTGATGTTCTCTTACGAATAAGTGCGGGACACACGAGATCTGACCCCATTTTCGGCCACCGTTCAATTTTATTTCCTCCGTTTATTCAAATTTTAGAAGCTCATCAAGTTTACTAGTAATCGTTTATTATCGTTAACATTATAATGAGTTTAATCCAAAAACCGCGTGAATGTCGATTTCAGGCGTTTTCTAGTGAAGCGCGGCAGTTCTCGGAAGCTCGGAGCATAAAGTCAAAGATGTGTGTTTTCGGTAACTAAACATGACAATATGATAATATGGTGAATTCAGTTGGTGCTAAAACATAGATTTCGACACTTAGATCAAGTTTCTATCGTATCGTGAAGCCAAAATCTCATATTTCGGAAGCGGCCAATTTGAATCCAAAATGGCGGCCCATAATTGGTTCAGATCGTGTGTGTCCCGCTTTTATTCCAAAGACAACATAAAAAAACTACTATATGCCAATGTTCATGCTTTTGTCAAAAAGTGAACGATTCTATGAAAATATCGACCACAGGGATTGAACTATATGTAAGTATTAGTATTAACTACATGGTGGGCATCTCACCATCCGATCAATCCTTTTAATACTACAACATAGTCAACATTTAAATACTAGTTTGAATAAATAAATAATAATGGCAAAATTTACACACACACACCCTTTACTGTATTTTACAGGGTATATGTCGATGTGGAGTACAAGTCGAATTAAAATATTTTACCGTTTTTCAGACCTTCATCCATAGCCACGTTGCAGCGTGTATAAGACATGTTTTTCTATTCCATAGCAATCTTTTATTGAAATACGGGAATGTTATCCTAGTCTAATACTGTACCGATCTATGTCAAAACAATGGCCCATCATATCAATTAACATAAAATAATTAATTGCTATATGTACGACTAACTTGGGTACTATTCCATGTTTATGTTCTGGGTTCATTAAAACCGGTTTTATTTCAATACTAAACAATATACACATTGTTTATCATCGCACATGTTGATAATATTAAGTAGAATTCTAACAAGACGCGAGAAATCTCGAAAGGTGAAAATTTTCACACGATCAATGCAGAAAATAAGATACTAATCTTATGACATTTTCTGGCCTTTTGAATGTGGGTTATGTTTTTCAATAAACAAGCTACATATATTTGGACTGAAGTAGTATTTGATAGCACATGTCTGAAGAGTATACTTTGACTTCTCTGTAAGAGTGCTATTATTTAGCAGAGGATGTACTAAGAATTTATTTTATTGGGACGCCTTTTTTTTTTTTACCTTGATTCATGTATAAGCGAATGCTAGTATACCACGAAGACACGACTTTAGTCTTCTGCATTAAAAAGTATCGACTTATACCCTGAAAAGTATGGTAATTATTTATTTTGTGTGAAATAAGTGCACAAATTAATGGAACCATAAAAAAACATTACTGACAAGAATACAAATTCTCATTAAAGTATTAATTTAAACATTGGAGACCAGAAATATATGAATAAATAGATAAGGTGACATGTCAGCCAATCATAGACTATACACTAATACAGTATTACAACACAAATAATAACTCCCAATTATACCTTTTATTTACAAGAAAATTATATGTTGTATTTTAATAGAACATTACTATTACTTCTCTATAACATCTTTTTTTACAATTTCTCATAGCAATAATTAAAGTTACATTATCTTTTAGATAACAACTATACCACATGTAGTTAGAGCTGGTCGATATCTCTGGAATCAAACATCACAATATTTTCTGAAAATATCGAGATATAGTCACTATATCGCGATATTTTATAAAATGTCAATAATTTCAGTTTATCACCTTTTAAATGTAAATAGACATGCATAAAATATTGGAAATACCCAGAAAATCAATGATTCCTTTGAAAAATCAAAGTATCGGTATAAATAATAAGTTAGGATACATAGAAATTGAGCAGGAGCAGTGATAATTCTAACAGTATCAGTCGGGTGGAAAAGTCAGCGAGGAGTCATGTGATGTAAACAGAGATACATGACGACATTAGCAAACTTTGTGGAATGAGCTCGGGAGTTTATGACAGTATTCATTCATCATTGAAAAAAAAAAATATAGTAAATAACATAAAAAGGAAGACATTTTTTTAATATTTATGTTAAAAAATCCAGAAAAGTAAAAATTGCAATATATCGCGGTATGTTCGTTTTTTTCTGAAGACAATATTTTTTTTACCTTTTTTATTTCTGCAATGGTTTGATATCGAAAAACTGAAATATCGCCCAGCTTTGTCAGTAGTTTTAACAGATAAATACAGTATCTGAACTATTATCATGTCTAAAAGATAATGTACTTTCAAAGAATAATATGTTTTTCATAAATATAGCCAACAAGGCTTGAGTCTAGACATATAACACAGAATAGTTTCATGTGGAATACTGTAATTGCACATATCTTTATTGTTGTAAATATGAGAATATCATCACAGTTCTAGCTAACAACACTACACAACCGCATGTAGACCAACATCAAAACTGTATCCATGGTTCACCACTACTATTTGAACTTCTGAAAAAATATTTTAAATATTCAATTTGAGAACTGTGTAGTAACTTTATACATGAACATATATACTAAACCATCCTAAAAAATCAAATATTATTGAGTGGAAATGAAATGTATAAAAAGGGCAAGAACTCTTATTTACCAGTTCTCCTTACGTGTCGAAAATTGGACACACACAATTTAGTGACAATTTTCACTGGTAAAGTAAATATGTGTTTATCCATTTTTATGATGTTTAAACATACATTATGCAAGAGCTAAATCTGCCTATTGCAGGTCTTTCTTTAGGCCTGAAATGTTATCAAAATTATTAATAAGACATTAATTAACTTATCCAGACTATAATCAACTCGCGATGCCATTGCTAGCCTGCGATATTTACTGGATTTGAATACATTTTGTGATGGATGATTTAAAGTCAAAATGGACAATCGAGACTTTATGATCGAGGATAGGCCTAAAATTAAATCACTAATATCTTCGTTCAGAGTTGAGCAATTTGACTGAAATTTTCAGCATATTCTCTTTACATTATCTATTTTTTAGCGAGAACTGTCAGCTCTTTATCTAATCTCCCATAATGTATCTTTAACAAATCAATTCACATGTTATTTATAAAGCATTAATATTTGCAAAATGTGCATTCAATTCAAGGGAGATAACAGGGAAAAGGGTTTCAGATCACCCAAATTATCAAATGATCTGCTCGAAACAGTAACTTGGAAAGATTTTAAAGGAATTTTTTTCAGGAAAGATTGTGTTTTTTAATATATACTTACCCATTATTCTATTGTATAATGATTTATATTTAAAGATACATTATGGGAGATAAGATAAAGAGATGGCAGTTCTCGCTATAATAGTTAAAAACTAGATAGTGTAAAGGTAATTTGCTGAAAATTTCAGTCACATTGATCCACTACGAGCCGAGAAAGAAGCGGGTGAAATTTTGGCATAGTCTCGGTCATCATTACTAAAATCATTAATATAAACAGCTTAGTCTTGATTATCCACTTTTTTTAATTTAATTATCAACGGCCGTTAGCGGCATATAGGAATCTAATCCAGCCAACATCGAAGGCTAGCCTTGACATCGAGAGTTTATTATGGTCTGGATAAGTTAATTAATGTCTAATTGATAATTTAGATAACATTTCAGGCCTAAAGAAAGACTTGTAATAAGCAGATTTTTCTGTTGCATAATGCATGTTTAACTCTTTCCCTGCCCAGGCCTTTTCAGAAAATTAGACGTAAATTACCCAGGTTTTTTGAGTTTTTGACCTTCTATAATGAGATTTACATTCACTCTCATTATCCGAAAAATAAATAGTTTTCCCCGCTATCAGAATCTGCTAATAAATCGGCGACTTGTTTCATAGGGAAATAATCCTGTTTGCGTTTCGCAGCCATCATCACTGAACAATAGAATACACAGTGACGTTGACATTATAAACAAGCCACGTGGGAATGACATCAACGCTACACAATGCCTTAATCACTAGCAGACTAATACCAGCAGACGGCCCAAGTTGTCTGTAGAATGAACTACGACACTGGTAGAGCAGCTATACCATCTACACTGCTCTTGGGGAATTAGGTTGTACATGTATGATCTTGGCAATTTACGACTAATAATTTAGACTGTACATGTACGATCTTGGCAGTGAAAGAGTTAAGTATATATCTAAAAAAAAAACTCCTTTGCTATGTTAACTCCCTTGAATGAATGAGAGAGGGGGGTGGATTACTGAAAAACAATTACAATACAGGTTATAGAAGCTATGCATAGTCATGAGCTTGCTCTTACAGGGAGTGATTTTATGATAATTTAAGTATTGGAAGTAATATCCTTTCATATGGCCAAAGAATGTAAACATTATAACATGTTAAATAATTTTGAATTTTCCATGTTTTTGAATGGTACTCCCACAGTCTGATATTGATGCATAATTGTTACGTACACACAAAGTGTTCTTAGACAGTTTTGTTTCATGATGATAAGGCAATCAATCCATTCAAATCGGCAAAAAATCAAAAATAGTCATAATTTACTGTTCAAATTTAATGAAAACAAGCTAACAGTGAGGCTGATGTCCCCCACCGATATAAAAAACAAAAAAAAACAAACAGATGACACATATTAATTAATTGCTCATTTATCTTTTTTCAAAAGTATCGAGTTAAGGTATTGATGTTATAAAATTATTCACAAAGTTTCACCACTATCACCCAATTAAAACCAAAGTTGGCAAGCTCCAAAGTCTCGACCAATCAAATTGCTTATCGCTTTGCTTACACTGAGTCGAAAATGCTCTCGTAATCAAACTTAGTCAAGGCATTGATGTGATAAAACTATACACCAAGTTTCACCACTCTCACTTAATTAGAACCAAAGTTATCGTGTCCCAAAGCATCAACCAATCAAATTGTTTATCTCTGCTTACCTTAATCAGAAAATATTCATCTTTGAACTCCATCAAGGCATTCACCCAATCAATGCCTACACCAAGTTTGAACATTCTACCTCAATTCAAACCAGAGTTATTGTGTTCCAAAGTCTCGACCAAACAAATTATTTATCGCTCTGCTTACCATGAGCAGAAAATGCTCATTATCAAACTTAGTCAAGGTACTGAGGTCATGAAACTATACACCAAGTTTGATCATTCTCACTTAATTAGAACTAAAGTTATGTCCCAAAGCATCAACCAATCAAATTGAATATCTCTGCTTACCCTAAGCAGAAAATGCTCATCTTCGAACTCCATCAAGGCATTGATCTAATAAACACCTACATGAAGTTTGAACATTCCAGCTCAATTAGAAGGAAAGTTATTGTGTCCCAAAAAGTGTGACGGACAGACGAACCCATTTTAATAAAAAATGAAGGAGTAAAATATCAAAGATGGCCTTTCATCATTAATAGACATGTGTACATGCAGCATTTTCCCAAAGTTTCATATTTTTTTCTGGAAGGCACCTATACATGGTTAAAGTGTGAAAAAGAGTGATCTTAGCTATTTTCTTGTTTGAGTCGATTTTCAAGGCTAATTCTATAAGAAACCGACAATGATACGCCTTATAATAATGTTTGTTGAAATAATACTTATTGATACATTATACATGTGGTAAGTAACAACTTCTAACATAGTGGTAGTCAAATTTCTACACTTTATTGAAATATAGTTTGGGGGGGGGTTTTTTCACAAGTATCGACATACACAGTTGACGGTACTTGTTCTGCAAATTTCATAGTAAATTCTCAATCTATATAATATCCTCTTACAAGAATATTATCTAACTAGAAGACATAAAAACAGTACACCAAAATCCAGTCATAGAATAGTAGTTTCAAAACTTCTGAAAGGGTACCCCTATTCAAAAGGCCATATTTCAGTCAATATTAATGCTAGAGTCGTATAACTCTGCAGGTTTACATAAATTTGAATGTACTATAACATATATTTTTTCATAATATTCTGAGGGGGTCACTTGACAAGCACTGGTCCACTTGACTTGGAATGACCCATCACTCTAATTAGAATTTAAGTTATCATGTTCTAAAGCATTGACCAATCATATTATTTAGGCATTGACCCAATAAGCACTTACACCAAGCCAAGTTATTGTGTCTCAAAAGGTGTGACAGACAGACAGACGAACGGACAGATGGACAAACCCATTTTAATAGTCTTTCTCAAATGCTGGAGACAATTAATTTAATATAGGAATAAAATAAACATGAATGGGGTAGGTACATACATGTTGTTAGCAGATGTAACTGTGCTGGTATTGGAACCGGTAAAATCACCCCATGGATCTGAAGTTGATTGTGTTGATTGAAGTGGATTATTTACAGGTTGGAATGTAGATGGATTATTTGTAGGTTCTAAATCAAATAATAGATCTACATTGTTGGTGCTATTTGGATTAGGATTAGCAGGTTGTGAGATGAGTTTAGGTTTATGGGAAGGGCTTACAGAACAAGCCGGTGGAGCTATTTTGATTGCACCCGCTGATGGTGGTGGTGGTAATAAACCTGGTATTCCTCCACCTTGTGCCCGTGGCCTTGGCTTTGATGAATCAGACTTTTTGTTCTACAATATATATAGAATATATGTGTAATTTATATAAATATATCATGTAAAATGTTTTTTCATTTGAATCTAAATATTTGTTCTGTAAAGTACTATAGTTGATTTTCAACAGCATACAGATGTTCTGCTACAAAATCTTATTACAGCAACAGTTTGTCAAACATTGTATAAGACAGGTTGCCAGGCAAAGAAACATACGCCCACATGAGCTAAATCGTATGAGTGGTCAACAAGGGTAGTTGCATATTTATTCTTTTGTAGGTAATGGGGGGCATTTACAAGACAATTTCATACAGATCAGATTATAATTTTCGTTGTTTGAGGGTTCACAAGGTTCTACAAACTGAAACAAGGGCCTTAATTCTAGAAGTAATTAACGAAAAATGCTGAAATTCAATAGGTTTCTTTGTTTCACTAAATGATACATATAATTTACATAGAGATCGGATGGTAACAAAATTCAACAAAGTGAAACAAAGGCCAGAATTCTCGATAACTTTTGTCGTTAGAGCGTTCACAAGGTGCAACAGAGTGAAAGAAGGGACATAACTCCAGAAGAAAGTGAAACAAAGGCCATAACTCTCGATAACTTTTGTCGTTAGAGCGATCACAAGGTGCAACAGAGTGAAAGAAGGGCCATAACTCCAGAAGAAATTGACAGAAATTATGGAAATTAAAAGGGCTTCATCTCACTAAAGTAAACAACATATATATTAATTTTAAAATAATCAGATGATAAATGTAGTCTGTAGAGTGTTCACAAGAAATTGTGGACAATTTGTGGACAACCAAGGGACGGATGGGGGCGATGGCAATCTACAACCACATTTCCATGTGGGCGTATAAAAATATTAAAATCTTATTAGTTTGTCAAACATTGTATAAAATATTAAAATCTTATTACCGTTTGTCAAAAATTGTGTAAAAAATTAAAATATAAATATACATTTAAAGTGACATCTTTCAAAAACATATCCTTTTTACATCACATTTCTGGATAACCTGTTTTCCAGTCAATTAGGATTTGGGAGTAGCTTTTATTTTTGGGAATTTAAGGATAGGTACAACTCAAGGACCTGTAAACTGCATATCCAGTAAAGTAGAAACAGAATCTTAGTCTGAGATTAAGAAATATGTTTATCTCCCAATACTGGCCAGCTAGAGTTCTACTAGTATCAGCATATCATACTTCAACCATAAAAACCCAGCTCGGTATACCAATCTTGTGATCTAGACATGGACTACAAATAAAGATAGTTTGCTGGGCAATCAAACATGCATAAAACAGCAAAGTCGTCTGTGAAGTCTACAGAAGTTGTAGGACTCACCCACGCGCGCACACTCTCCCACCAATGCCCGCACGTGCACACACACACTTCAATGTAGGCGTAAAAAAGTAAAGAGACTTACACCACCTATATTTATTGTAATTGTTTGTCCTTCTTTAAACCCCAGATCCAGTTTTGGTCCCTTGTCTAACTCCTTTAAACTATCTTGAGCCAGTTCATCTTGTTTTAATCCCCTAGAAATATAATTTACTACAAGTTTTAACCTCACTTTAAATGGCTAATAGCTATATGATGGGAAAACACAGCACCTACCAAACCTCTACTCTTCACCAATTGTTTAATACCCATACACTATAATACTGTTGTTGGGGACGTCTACTTTATATAATCAAAGCCATTAAAAACGCAATGCCAAATTCAGTTTATTTACTGCAACAATTTTTAACAAATGTACATAATTGACAAAATCGAGATAACAAGCATCTGTAGATAATTTCATGAAAGAATTCACTACAAATGCACAAAACCAAAACGTCAGAGAACCATGAAACAAAGCAGGGGTCAGCTAAAGTCAATATCGGGTATGTCCACCCTGAGCTCTTACACATGTCTGAAGTCGCCTTGGCATGGACTGGCACAGATGTCTCACTACACGCTGTGGGATTGTTTGCAAATGATTTTGGAGTGCCTGTGCCAACTCCGCAACAGTTCGTGGTAGCATCGCTTGAGTTCGAATCCATCGTCCAAGTTCATCCCAAAGGTGTTTGATCGGGTTACGAGCAAAGCGTTCATGTCAACGTCAGTAGATACGGTGAAGTCCATCAGGAAAACTGAGGTTGAATCGGGATTCATCCGAGAAGATGACATTTCGCCATGGTGTGTTGTGCAGATACCCCTGATTTGCGACCCATTGCTGTCTGGCAAGTCGAAGATGATGCAAAAAGATTTGCCCTTAACCCATTTTTGACAATAGCGAAACAACTCGCACCAAGTGACTCACGGTAGCGAATAAACTCGCGGACCCATCATTCTTTGCAACGGCATTAGCGAACAAAAGCGCCAGATCAATCAACAGATTTCTATTGTGTTTATTTCATAAATTAATGGTGATTGAGTAATAAAAATAAAGCACTCAATGGCAAGGGATGTTATATTCGCCAATTATCGAATAAAAAACATACGTTTCAACAAAGAATCTTCCAGTATTTACGTAATAGGTCAGAGGTGAAAATTCACACCGTGTCGATGACTTTGGCAGTATTCCAATATTTTCACGTTGTCACAAACGGCTAATAATTTTATGATATGAAGAGTGAAATGGAATCAGATTTTTTCAGATTTACGTAGAAAATGATAATGTCGAAGAAATCAACTATTTGTTATTTTTTTTTTTGACGTTACAATGCGAAGAATACGGATACTCGAGCCGAGATCAAGCGTGTCGCCGCCATCTTGGATACGGTGCGCTTTCAAACAGACGATAACACAAAACTTACGGCTAATAATTCTAGACTTTGGAAAACTAAATTGAATCAAAACTTGTGGGATTTAATACAAGCTACATAGAGGAATATTACATTGTCGAAGATTTCAACTATATATTTTTATTTTCGACGCAATAAAGCAAAGAAGACGACCATATATCCAAAGAAAGGCAGAAATGTTAAAATGCCGATAGCGATTAAGTGATCGTCACTTGGGGTGATATTTCTTTTTAAAAGTTATATTTACATTTACTTTGAACACTGCTGCCAACGTGAGGGACTATATTTGTGTTCTATTTTTAAAAAAAAAATATTAGGGGATACTTGTTCACGTTATTTTATCATTATGACAGAGAAAAATCATAATTTTAGTGGAACTGACTTTTCAATGTTATTTATAGTAATATAATTTCTACTTTGTAAAATTGAATTTTATATCATTGGAAAGAACACGACAATCTGTACATTTATGTGACAGAGTATTTCTATGTATAGAAAATATTTTTTTAGTTATTTGCAATTTTGTAGAGGGTATTAGGATTAACAATAATCCACTAATTGGCTTGGGAAATGGGCCCTGCTGATTTAATTAGCTTAGGGGTAGGGTAGCTACTCTTTTAATTGGCTCAGGGTTAAATGGGCCGGTTGACGTCATAACGTCAAGTGGTCAGGCTAAATAAAGGCTGATGTGAAATATTTTGTATGCCTATTTCAATCGACTACTGCCGAATAATTATAAGTGATAGACTCTTGACACCAATAAAAAAGTTGAAGGGGTTACGTTGACCTATAATTTGCAAATCATTCTAAATCCTTTTCATCAGCAATATCGTTTCAGAATCGGTGTCATCGATATAATCCGAGTCGGAATAATTCATAAGTATTTCAACCACTACGAGCGTCTTTAACCTTCCCGACATCGTTAAATTTATTCTCAATGCACTTGACAAGACAAGTTCCTGTCTGACAGGCATGCGTCGCCATATCAATTAAATACGAAACTAAATACTCAAATGCGGCTTATAAAAAAGGTTCTTGCTGTGGTCGACTTCGACCATGACCACTTAGCTGTATAACGTTGTGGTGATTATAATCGACAATGACCGGTTAAGGGTTAATAAGGTCGCCTGCAGCGTAACCCAATAGCAGCCAGACGCCTTCAAACTGTTTGAGGGCTGATCTGACGTTGCCATGTTCCAACAGTTCCCCTGGCAGTAGCATAGCTGACTGGAACCTTTTGCGCAGATGCTGTTGTCGGATGTGGCGATCTTGAGCAGCGGTTGTTACATGTACAGGTGGCACTCCAGGTCCGGGGTCAATCAGCAACTCTTCCAGTGGCATGGAAGCGTTGTCTGAGGTGAGCAATGGTCGATGGGTGGACATTAAAGTGTCTGGCGACGGCTACCTTTGTAAAGCCCCCTAATCCATCATGCCAATAGCTCTGTTCCAGTTTTCTTGTGTAAGTCGTGGGATTTTTCTGACGCGATAAATGTTGAAATTTTGATCTGTATTTAAAGCATCAGAGTGCAGGGAATGCACATGCAAATCATTTGACATGGGACTGCTCAAAATCGTGAAAAAAGACAAGTGTTGTGTTTGTACAAACAAAGTTCATTACCGAGAACTGATATTGGGTTCAAACGCAGAACTCCACAAAAAGAGACCCATCACAAGTTTCACCTATGTGCCATAAGATAGGAAAGCCCAAGAAAACGTTTACCAGAAATTTTTATCACGAATTAGGCATTGCGTTTTTAATGGCTTTGAGTATAGTTACTTGACGAACTTACTTCACTATAATGCTATTGTGAGCCATGTTGACACCAATCCTATATTGATATCTGCCTTATAGCTAATGAATACTCATCATCGAACTCAGTCAAGACATTCATCTAATAATTACTTCAAGTTGGAAATTTCTTCAATTAAAAGAAGGGCTCTGGGGTTTCAAAATGTTCACCAATTAAATTGCTTAACCAAAGTAGAAACTCGGTAAAGACAATGCAACAAATAGAGACAGACAAAACCATTTCAATAATCCCCTGCTTTCTCCGACAACAATTATGTGATACAGTATCTCATGGTTGAAAATTTAATTGATATATTTAGACCTATTCCTTTGACAATAACTATGCTACAATCCATTTATCCTTTAATTCTAGAAATAATTCTTAACCTTAACAGTTGGTACGCTGGTCACGCTGGCGTGCAGGTAAAAGAATCCTTGACAGTTGGAATTCGAAATAAGAATAAGCTGTAGCGCTACTGTCTGGGCAAAATGTCCCTCATAGCATTGTGTATGGCGAACAAGTCAATGCAAAAAAAGTAGGGTGTCAAACACATCATTTGGTACACAATCTAATCAACAATCTATATTATTATTTTTTATTGTCTACTTACTTGAAATGATCAGAAAGCGTTACATTGAGATCAAATGAATCAGCTCTATCAGCAAAACCAATACCTATAAACGCACTTCTCCCACCTTCATCTTTAATTCTAATAACAAAATACCGACTAGAATCTAGAACTGATTCAACAGCTATACCAGGATATTCATCAACAGGACACTGAGCAAATAAATCCCCTGTAAAAATAATTTAATACATGTATAAACAAAATATCAGTTATTTTTTAACATGTCTAGTTTCCTACATAATCCACAGTAAATTTTCTGTGGAATAAAATTTGACTGTATACCTTCATATAAAAGGAACTTTCTTGTGATTTAATTCTGTTAATAAATGCTGTGGAGTCAACTGGCCACTTCAAAGGGTGATCAATCATATATCCATATACCTGTGCACAATAATATCTTACATTGTCTCCAGTTGGGATGATAAAAACACAATTATGTTATGTTTGTTAAAACCATGGCTTCTAGGCCAGGAGCTAGCAAAGATTTAATTAACATCTCAAGAACAAAAGGTTTGAAGACCAGAATTAGTAGATATGTGATCAGGATCCTCAAAAATGCAACTCTGAAGTAATGCTTTTTGGGACACCACCAGGAGGCAATGTTCACATTACCGTACATCTTGAGTACCTCCATGAGACCTTTGTCAAAATGTTCCTTTGGATTCTCTATTACCAAAACATCCTGCGGAGTTGTCAAATTTGGGGATTAATCCCCTTCTGAGCAGGTCAAAGGTCAATATTAGTCGGCCACACCCAGTCTTATCTTTAATGCAAACAAGTAAAAAATTGGAGTCAACAAACTGTTCCTGTGGCAATTTGTAGATTGTAATAACAATAATGTTTGTGGTCTCTACAGTAAGCTTTCACTTTAAATTTCAAAGGGGCTACTCAACCTTTAACACAGATATTGTTTGGACTCTGCACATTATTAACTTAGGGGTTTCAAGTTTTTAAGGAGGAATAAAATAGTGCAGTATTATCAAGTCAACAGTGAGGTTAACGCCCCCCTACACCTTACTCCCCCCAAAAATTGATGACATCCCCTTTTAATTATTCACTATGAACATCTAAAATAGCAAGATGTGAAAATTTTTATAATATATCATGCCTTTTTCTTTGTCTTCTAATTTCATAACTAATTCTTTTCCTTTTGCAATAACCCGTAATCTGCCAGTCCAATCTGGTGCATCTAATTTCCAATCAGCAGCTCTGTTATGATAAAATAATCTTGATATAAATCCAGGTGCATAAATCAGCCAGGGAACAGTGTTTTTGTGAAGAAATGTTACAATCAATTTATATGGATGTTAGTCCACAAACCATAGAAATTTTATCTCTGATGATTGCACTAATGAGATTCTCAATTCAAATTTTATTCCTTCTTGGTCCATTGATTATGTTTCATATAAAATAAATCAGCTGGGGAACGATGACTAGCCAGGTTCAGTGCAAATAATTTGAAAATAAGTGAAAGTAACCAATATGATATAGCCCTGAAAAATTGCTGGGGGGGGGGGCAGTTAAATGCAGAGGCAGGTAACGGTAATGCATCAATTAACTTGTAGATTTCCTTTATCCCGTGGGGCACCCTAAAAGAACTGCAATATGGTAGATTCAATGTGGTCGTGGTCTCTGCTACAATTGATCATCCATTGATGCTTTGTACAAACTAAAAGTAGCCTCACACAAATAATTTTCAACACATGGGCCTATCATCATAATTTGTATTTATCAAATAAATGTTTTTATCACAAACAATGAATTATGAACCATTAAATTTTAATAATCACCAAACAATTTCTCTTTTCTCTTTGTGGTAATGTGTCTTGCATGATTGAAGCGACATATTTTATGTAGGACAAGTAGCCATGACAATTACATGCAAAATTATGCCATACAGTTAAGGTTTCAATTTTTGTTTTCAATGTGCATTAGTTACACAGGCATTATGCAAGAGCTAAATCTGCCTATAGTAGACCTTCCATTAGGCCTTAAATGTTATATAAACTATTAATTAAAAATTAGACATTTATTAACATGACAAGATCATAATCAACTCACAATGCCATCTGATAGGGCTGATTTTCAACAATTTTGAATCCGTTCTCCGGTTCAATGAAGGTTGATGATTAACCGTAAAAATGGATAATCGAGATATTGTTTTTTAACAACGGTAACATGGACAAGTGAGGCTACAGTGTTATTGAAATAAGGATTTCTCGACATGAGTCTAATTTGAGTTGACTAAAATTTTCAGCTTTCAGCATATATCCCATTACCACCGTACCACCGGATTAATTGGAAATTAAGGGAGTTACAGGCATATCTCGGAGGCAATCATACCCCATTATACTAGAAAGGACCAATAGTACTGTAACAGTGTAATACCAATGGGAAGACGACACAAACAAGCATCGGCAATGAATATGAAGATCAGTGGCTCTGTACCATGGATGGGGACGTGGTGACTGAAATTACTTTGATTACACTATAGATTAGCTAATTACATTAGATTAGACAGGCTATGGTATTACACACCCCTTTCGATATAATTATTAGATTAAAATAAACAGTAAACCTGTAACCCCTATTTGATTGTCTGGGTGGAATTCGGTACACAAACACTTCATTTTTCACACACAACACTCTTTCGTATGCAAAGTCGGCCATTTCGGATATTTCGAAAGCGAGGCAGAAGTGGGCGGGGCAGTATGGTTGTGTCAAGTATTTTACTTTGGACTTTTCAAAGCAAATGCGCAATTATCTACCACGGGACTACATGTATTTACATATTTCAGGGTGGAGGAGGGGGAATTTGACCACTTTGACGTAGAATAAATTTTTACAGCACTATAAAATCACAAACAAAACTCCCCCGAAGATTGTAAAATAGTATTAAAAACGAAGAGACAAAAAAAGTCTGATAAAAAAAAAATCAGTTCGGTTTACAATCATATATTTGTATATAATGTCATTTAAAATGCCCAGTGTCTTTGTATTTACTTACTTGTCACAAGCAGAGGAATTAAGATCGCGTCATCTATACCTCCATCATTTTGTCGCATCATTTTAGAATTTGAGCAATTCTTGGATACTGGCAAGTATATGGCCACTTGTTCCAAATAACTCAATTGTATAATTGTATAATTGTATAAATATATCTTGCACCAATTTCACAAATGAATTGACAAGTCTTGCCAAAAGACACATTCCAAACAAATTAGTAACCATTAGACCGAGGGACCAACCATGGACAGGGGCGGATTGGGGCCGGAAACCGGCCCGGGCTCCCGTGTCGGAGCCAGGCCCGTAGCCAAGGGGGGGGGGGGGGGCCTGGGGGGGGCCAAGCCCCCCCCCCCCTGGAAATAATCTTGCCCCCCCTGACAAAAAGTTGTCGACCATATTTATATATTACCTATGTATGATTTGAATATATTTCTTGGAAAAACACTCAGAATAGTTCGTTCTTAGAACATATAATTGTCGATTTCTATGCTTAGAAACTCGTTTACAGCTACTCAATTTTCAAAATTTTCCGGGGGGGGGGACCCCCGTACCCCCCGCAAAAGAGACCCCCGGACCCCCCTACCGCCGGGGCTGCCCCCCCCCCCCCTGCCAAATATGCGATTTGGTGGCATATCTGATTATAATCTCTGTCAAACAGTATATCTCATAATTCGATTAATTTAGGCCAAAACCCCGACCTGCAAGTAACTTACAACCATCAACCTGTGAAATCATCATATCGTCATATTATGCAGGATTCCGAATTCCGGCCCACACCCAGCACACCCGGCCCAGAAAGTCTATTATACCAGCCCATTCCAGACTCCAGTGATGGCGTGGCGATCCGTTAAAGCCACCGGCCACATACAACATGATCATCTTCGCTCCATGGCCAGTCAAATACCCCCCCCCCCCTACACCTTTATAATGTTCAGCAGAAAAAGGTTTTTTAGACGAATTGGACAAAATTATTTTTTTCAGTTTTTTGTCCGATCGCCCGATGGCCCAATCCGCCCCTGACCATGGATGAATAACAGTATAAGAAAATTGAGTAAAAAGAAAAATAAACTACACAAAAAAGCAGTAAAGGAAACCTCAGACATTGCATGGCAGAATTTCAGAAATATTAGAAACAACTATATCAATTTTATAAGAAAATGCAAGCGCGAATATTATGAAAAACTTGACGATAAGATAAACGATAAGGAGAGAGAGAGAGAGAAATGGGGTTTAACGTCCACTCGACACAAACTAGGTCATTTCGGGACTAACATAAATGGTTTAATTGTATTTCAATAATTCGCTTGCGCGTAGGGGTCTTTAGCAGTGGGAGGAACCCGGAGGATCCGGAGAAAACCCACGAGGTTGGACAGGCGACACTACTCCTTGTCACGTACAACCGGGGATTCGAAACGACGCCAGTTGACTCAATGACAGGTCGTATGATACAACCCCCCTAACGATAAGGAAAATTTTGGGAACAAAAACTGGTGGCAACGTGTTAATTCATTTCTAAAAAAACCCACGACAGACATGTAGTGAATTACCTCCCCTTACTCTTGACGACAAAACATTCTTTTCACTAACCGATAAAGCCGACTCTTTAAACGACCATTTCATAACCCAATCATCACTTGACAGCACAGATGCATTTCTTCCCACATTAAGCCGCAATGACAATTCACTGTGTACCATTGAACTAAATCCACAGGAAGTTAAGGACATGCCCCTAACAATTGATTCATCGAAATCTAATGGCCCAGACGAAATAAGCGGAAAACTTTTGAAATCATTATCTGAAGAAATATCTAAACCTTTATGTACTATATTTAATTTATCCCTAAAAAGAAAAATCGTACCTGATATTTGGAAATTCGCAAACATTACTGCCATCCTCAAAAAAGGCGACCCAACTGATTGTGGAAACTATAGACCCGTATCTCTCTTAAAGTAGCTAAGTCTCTAACTCAATATCATCCAAAATCTTCGATATTGAAAACACGATTTATTTGTCGTTTTAAATCAACATGTTGTGATCTTACCGGGAAAAGATGGCCTTCTGATATCCAATATTTAAGACAAAATAAACATTTTGCAATTGGTACACGAATCGTGTACAATAATGCGTTTCAGCGCTATTTGTAATAAGGGATTCGAAAAACGAGGCTAGGCATATTCCACAAGTCATGTCAAACGGTGATGCTATATTCTTATCTGGAGAGCATGCCCAATAAATACTATCGGCGTAGACTGGAATAACCAGACGATAGAGATTGAAATTCGATTGAGAATACTGGCATATTTCGTCGAACCTAACTGATTAGAAATTACAGTAAAAACAGAAACGATTGAATGTAAATCAATTTATATACATTCATATTACATTATTGTATGCGTTGCGACCCGTTTGTGTCAATTTATAGGTCCCAAATACTAGCGACTTAGCTCCTTTAAGTATTCTTGCTAAAACTTTCGAAAAATGCATATACAAACATGTCTTTAACTTCTTCCATGATAATTCTATTATTACTAAACTTCAGAGCGGCTTTCTTCACGGTGAATCGTCCGTCTATCAACTTACTGACCTAACTCACGCGTTTTGTCAAGCCATCGATCAAGGCAAATGTACGAGAGCAGTGTTCTGCGACATAAGTAAAGCTTTTGACAGAGTCTGGCACGCTGGACTCTGTCATAAGCTTGAGGCGGCTGGGGTCAGAGGGGACGCCCTTCACTGGTTCAAAAACTATTTAACTAACCGCAAACAAAGAGTTGTTGTGAATGGCGCCTCCTCCGCCCCCAGAACAGTTCCATCTGGTGTTCCGCAGGGCTCTGTTCTCGGTCCCCTACTATTTCTAATCTACATTAATGATATAATAGAAAATATAAATTCAAACATCCGTTTATTTGCTGACGACACAGCTCTGTATCTAACAATCGATGATCCAGCTGCAAATGCCGATACAATCAATAACGACTTAGAAAAACTAAATAGATGGACTAAAACATGGCTGGTATCCTTTAACCCCCTCAAAACCGAAACACTGGCACTAACTATCAAGAAAAATCCTCCACTACCAGCACTTAGATTTAATCAAATTCCTATAAAAGAAGTCAACGAACATAAACATCTCGGTTTAATCCTCCAGTCAAACTGCAAATGGCACGCTCACGTAGACTCGATTATTAATAAAACAAGCAAATTAACACTGGCACTAACTATCAAGAAAAATCCTCCACTACCAGCACTTAGATTTAATCAAATTCCTATAAAAGAAGTCAACGAACATAAACATCTCGGTTTAATCCTCCAGTCAAACTGCAAATGGCACGCTCACGTAGACTCGATTATCAATAAAACAAGCAAATTAATTAACTCCTTAAATTAGCTAAGTCTCTAACTCAATATCATCCAAAATCTTCAACATTGAAAACACGATTTATTTGTCAAATTAAATCAACATTCATGTTGTGATCTTACCGGAAAAGATGGGCTTTTAATATCCAATATTTAAGACAAAATAAACATTTTACCATTGGTACACGAATCGTGTACCATAATGCGCTTCAGTCCCAGTTGTATCAAGAGACTCGAGGGACGAGGCTAGACACATTGCACCAAATCAAACGGCGTATGTAGACTGGAATAACCAGACGCTAGAAATTTGCACTCGCTTGAGACTGCTGGCTTATTTCGCCGAACATAACTGATTTGAAATTGGAGTAAAAACGGAAACCATTGAATGTAAATCAGTTTATATACATTCATACTACAGTATTATATGTATTGCGACCTACTCTTGTCAATTTCTAGGTCCCAAATGTTAGCGATTTAGCTCCTTTAAGGTCACTCAAATACAGGCTTAATTGAAAATCCCTGCATACTCTGTACACTTCCTTTATTTTACCCCATTTCGATTACTGCGATGTAATCTGTAATGGGTGCACTGATGAGCATACTAACAAACTAGAAAACTCACAATTAGATGCACTTCGAACTATATCTAGGGCTGTAAGGGGTACTAGCCATAAACTCTTATATAACGAAACCGGGTTTATTACGCTACAAGAAAGACGCAAACGACACAAACTGACACCTGCGTACCTAAAAGACTTAATACTTCACCGACCCAATAATTACCATCTTCGTAACGATGACAATTTTTCAGAATACCAATGTAGAACAAAATTTTTTTCGAACTCTTTCGGACCCTCATCAACAAAAGAATTGAACAAACTTGATATCAATATAAGAATTTCTCCGTCTTTCACTACTTTCAAACAAAATCTAAAACTAAACGATCTCATTATTCCAAATTCATTTCTACAGGGAAAAAGAAAGAACCAGATCATACACAGTAGATTGTGGCTTTCTTGTAGCGACCTAAACGGGCATAAATTTCTACGACATATCTGCGAGGATCCATCATGCAGCTGTGGTCATCGCTTTGAAGATTCTGAACATTTTCTCCGCTGGTGCCCACTGTATTCAGATGCACGAAAATATACAATACATCTTTTACCATCCCACCAGCAATCAATTAAACCACTTCTTTTTGGCATAGAAAATCAGACTACATCTAATATAACATCTTTAAAATAGTTCATGAATATTTCGATGTTACCAGACGCTTCAATATCTGATTCTATTTATAGAACCCTTTTTATCATGTTATAAAGCAGC